GGAAAGAGCTCAACTCCAGTCCCCCAGGTGCAGTGTGCGCCTGCCCCCAACCAAGCACGCTTGCAAATATGCCCCCCACCCTTTCCCTGGATTGCAGAGTGCCCCCGTGCGCGCACGGGGAGCACACGAAAACACGCGTGTACACAGGCGGGGCTCTGCCTGTCCGTGGCCCGTGACACTGAGGGAGATGGCCGTATCACACCTACTCACACGCGAGTCTGCGAGGCACTGCGTGCCTGAGTCGGAGTTTCCACGCACGCCTATCCCCGGGGCGGGGCTGGTGGGTACCCCCACCATTAAGAGAGCGTGGGGGCCTGCGAGGCGCCGGGATGCGGGAACACGTTGCCCGGGAACTTGCGTGTATCCGTAGGCGGCGGAAACACGTGTGTTAGGGTAGGCCTCGGGTCGGACGATCCCTACTGCCATCACCCCTCCAAGCTCAGCTCCGGAGTTTAAGAGGCCTGGGGGTTTCCGGAATCCGGTGTGAATCTGGGGCACGGTTCGGAGAACCCTGGCTCCGAAACAGCTCGAAACAGCTCTTCAGCGCGGCCTCCAGAGGCTGCAAGGAGAGGGGCACAGTGGGGAGTCAAAGGCCTGGCTGTTTTTGCCCCCTCAACCAAGGCCACTCCGACCCACCCTCGGTGTTTCAGCCTATCCTCTGGGTACAAGACCCACCCCCCTCTAATACTACACCCACACCCACACCCACACACACCCCTCTAATACTACACACACACACCTATAATACTACACACACACACACATCCCTATAATACTACACACACACACACACACACACACACACTTCAAGCCACGCCCCCGCCCTCCAAGCCTCGCCCCGGATAATAAGCTCAAAATTCCAAATCCCGCCCCTAAGCCCGCGCCCCTCCTCCGGCAGTGCCCTCCCCTCTGCGCCCCGCCCCCAGGCAGAAGCCCAGCCCCATACCTGGCGTAGGGGGGCGGTGGTGCGTCGTGCACTCCAGAGGCCGCCAGCGCCTGCTCGTAGGTGGGGAGGCCTGGGGGTGGGGGTGGAGGCAGGGGCGTCGGCGGACTCAGAGAGCTCAGGGGACTGATGAGCTCGGCCCTGGGGACAAGAAGGTGCACTGTTAGCAGGATAGAGAGCCTTGGGAGAAGGAGGAAAGACGTAGGGAGACAGAGACACTGAGGGTGGTGGGGAGACAGAGGTGGAAGGGAGATGGACGAACGAAAAAGAGGGTCACCTTCAACCTGACTCTACACACAGAAAAGCACCTCGAAGTGACAGGCAGATGCACAGGACAGGCAGCCACAGAAATCAACAACTGCTGAGACAGACTCGTTCAGACACACATGCTCCAGTTACAAGCAGAGAGTCGTGGAGAAAGAGGCAGCCCTGCAGAGAGGCAGGCAGACACACACAAGAAACAGACAGACACAACAGAGACACTCAGCCACAAATTTCCCAGGTCCACTCTTAACAATAAACTCTTCCTAGAAACCTTTAGACCCACTATACTTCAAGACTAATGCTCAAGCCCTCTCTTCGACCCTGCCACTGACAGAGCCACACCTAGACAACTGACACAGGCACACACAAACACAGCTACACCTTGTCACCACGGAAACTGACATCCCACAGACACCCACAGACCACAAGCTGCAGCCTCACCAGATATAATACCCACAGAATGATAATCACACATGAAACTGGTACTGCAAAGACAGCAAGACAGCAAATATTGAATGAGTTCCTACTTTGTGCCAGGTGCTGTGGATATAGTCAGAGAGATGCCACAACTGGACACAGAATCTCAGACTCACTCTCCACGTGACCGTCTCCTCAGATATTTCAGCAACGCCCAAACGCCCCCAATCTGGCCCATCTCCTTAGGCTGACCCTTCCTCCCTTCTTGCTCCCCAGCCCTTCCTTCCCAAAGCCCCCTTACTCTTGAGGACTGGGCTGCTGGCCTCGTTTCTGACGGCAATGCAGATACCAAAAGGCTCCCAGGCTGGCCAGGATCATGAGCAGGATGCCCACTGTCAGCCCCACAGCCATGCTTGCTACGTCCCCTCGTCCACGTCCTGTGGGGGGAAGGAGGGCACAGCGTCAGGGGCTGTCACCCTCTCCAACATCCAGATACCTTCCCCTGAGGTAAGGGAAACCTTTCCAGATTTTCCCCTGAGGGAAAACGACTGGCCAAGAAGGCAGAGCTGGGGCCACTTCCAAGCTGTGTGAACTCAGGCAACTCACCTCACTCATTTCTGTGAGCCTCCATTTCCTGCTCTGTAAAATGGGAATAATAACCCCTCCCTAATAGGTTACAAAAATGCAATGAATTAAATGCAGAAAGGGCCTGGGATAACCTCATCTGAGACTAGAAAATAGGGCAATTATCTCTCTAAGAGGAGAGAGAACCCTCCTAAGATTGCAGATGACATACGCTTACTTGGGGTAGGGAGTTCAGACAGCCAACTCTCTGAACCCCCATACTGAGCATTGCCAGATTTAGCAAATAATAATGAGGATACCCAGTTAAATGTGAATTTTACATAAACAGTGAATTTCTTTTTTTTGGCCACCGCAGACGGCATGCAGGATCTTAGTTCCCCAACCAGGGATCGAACCCGTCCATGCCCCCTGCAGTGGAAGCACTGAGCCCTAACCACTGGACTGCCAGAGAATTCTAATTTTTTAGTATAAGTATGTTCCATGGAATATATGAGATATACTAAAAAATTATTCCTGTGTATTTGAAATTCACATTTAACTGGGCTGTGGGGGGAGCAGTCTTGTATTTTATCTGGCAACCCCGTCCCCTCTGGAATGCGATACCTTTTACCAACCAGGCTAAGGAGGGGCAAGGCCTTACCACAAGGCTAGGAACAATTTATCTATCAAGGAGGAATGTAGGGACATCCCCTCAAAAACAGACTGCTGGTGTTTAGAACTCATGTGGATCCTTGGCTAAGGTGAAGCACCTTTAGCAATCAAAGCTTCATGTGTGAGGAAAAGGTGGGTGGGGCACAGGGAGGAGCCTGGCTTTGTGAGGCCTTGCTAGGTCTTGCTGCTGGGGAAACTTCCTTTAGCACTGGGTAGGGGGGACTTTCCTCAAACAGTAAACCTCAGGCCTTTAGCCCTCTTAGCAAAAAGCTGCACTAAGAAACGGGCGGTGGGGGACGGCCTTCCTGATTCTGACATGTTTCAGGTGGCCTCGAGAAGCCAACAGGCCTTGATAGGCCTGTAGCAAAGCAGTTACCTCCCCTAGCAACCAATGTGAGGACTTCAGCCCAGACTTAGGGCCTGTTGCTAAGGTGGAAACACCCCTAGCAACCAGGCCACTCAGGGGTGACATGCCCTATGCCTGGAGGGGGGTCCTCCTGTGGGCAGGAGGCCTTGGGTCCTGAGCTTGGCTAGGTGTGGTTGCTAGGAAGAAGGCCTCCTTAGCAACCAGGCTGAAGCCAGGATGGGGTTGTGGGGGAGGGGAAGCCAACCAGGTAGTGAGTGCTGCTGTCTTCCTTGGTCCAGCCTGGCCAGGCTTTGTTGCTAAGGAGCAGCCCCCTCTTAGCAACAAGGCTGCAGCCACGATGGGGCCTCAGAACTCAGAGGAGGGGTTGGGGCTGGGCTGATCGGGCAGGTGAGGACAGACAGGCTTCCACCAATTGGCCTAGCCCAGCCCCGTTGCTAGGGAGCAACCCCCCTAGCAACCAGGCTGCAGAAGGGGCTGGGGCTCTGGACTCCAAAGAGGGGCTCAGGTGGGCCAGGGCCTCTGAGCCTAAGGCCTCAGGGCTGTAACCTCTCCTTCCAACTGTCCTCCTTCCTGCGGACATGGGACCTACCCCGAATAAGGTGTGGTGGGTTCCTCGGGCAAGGGCTCTAGTCTCAGAGGAGGGGATTTCTTTACCAACCCCCTCCAGGAACTCAGGAGCATGGAACATGGAGGGGGTGAGATCGGGCTGGGGGATGTTCGTTCAGCCTCCACAGAAAGGAGCTGCCTTAGTTGCACAGAATGAGAGGGCTCCCCCGACTCACCTCCTTTGCCATTGTAGATGTAATTCTCCCAAAAGCGCTCCTTGAATGGGCAGGAGGAGAGAAGGCAGAAAGGCATCAACTGGGAGATTCTACACCCCCAAACCAGCCCGGCCTGATGATCTCTGAGGCACGAGGAGAGAGGGCTGAGGGGCACAGG